TGTTTAGGTTGACATCATATTTATCATTATGCAGATCTATTCCCACTTTCGTCTATCTATTCTCAATAGATAGTTATCCTAATTAGTCCAATCTAACTTACATCAAATTATATCTCACGTACACATTCTCTAGACTTGGCTGCACATATAAGTACAAAGATTGTTATTCGCTCGTCTCACTTCACTTTCATCGTGAATATCTTGCATATCCTTCGACTTGTCTTAAGAGTGCCCCACATAGCCGGGCAACAAGTTGGGGGCTTATTTATTTTATTGTGCAGCTTCTATGCCACTCACTACATAAATAGACAGCATTCATTTCTAATCCAAGCCATGCTCAATGGAAATGTTCTTAGGTGTACAAGTAATAAATATTCTAATTGAGTACATTGCGTGCAAACTTTGGCTCACAAAAGAACAAAAATACTTGAAGTCCGTCGGGCTGCCTGTGCGACTCTCTCGAGCAGAATGCTAAATGCTTGTAGAACCATTCAAATCAAGTGGGCGAACTACATGGGGAGGGATGCTGAGGCGACAGTCGACATTCGAGAACTGAGAACTTTAAATGTTGCTGAGGATTCGCCTGCATTGCTCGCTAATTTATTCAACTAAATTAACTCAGGCTCTCAATGGAGGAGCCGGGTCTTAGCAACAAAGATGCTGATGGCCGGACGGAGGAAGGTGCAGACGTCTCTGTACGCACGTTGATATTACGAAAGCAACTCATTAGCATATTCTAATTAATTTATATTATTCCAAAATGCACAAACTTAATTGCTACGGCCACTTAGTTAATGAAATTGTAGTTCAACTCTGGACCGTGAGATTTCAAAAGCTTTATGCGGCTGCCAATGACGATTTCAAACTGTTTTGCACCAACCATGAAAGGGCGCTGACAGTGTGCACTAAAGATGGAACTATGACAGGATAGCATACGATAGTTGAATGTATCTGTATCTGTATCTGTATCTGTATCTGTATCTGTATCTGTATCTGTATCTGTATCTGTATCTGTATCTGTATCTGTATCTGTATCTGTATCTGCATTGGTGTATCTGTATCTGTATCTGTATCTGTATCTGTATCTGTATCTGTATCTGCATCTGCATCTGCATCTGTATCACTCTTATTTTATCATATCGCCATTGACATCTGTCTTCCAGAGTGTTTCGTGTCACGCGCTCATCTCTAGAGTGCTGTTAGCAAAAATGAGGCCTAATATAAACTTTTAACAAGAGTCGCAGCAAGCCAACATCATTTTAAGATGACACAACATTCGTAAGCCTCATTATCAGGCTGTGTGTGGATGCCTGTGCCTGTGTCTGTGTGGGTGGTACTGCCTTTCATTAGGAGACGCCAAAAGAAACCGGCTTGAGAAGATTTTGTTGGCAAACAAATTTCTGAGAATCTATTATGGGGTAGCAGAAGAGGAAGTCAAGTTTCGTGGTGGCTACGAAATTTCCAGGCACACATAGCCTCTAGCACCCTCTGCCCGTCTGCCAGACGATTTGCATTTTGCCTGGTAAACAGATTGCGTTGCGTATACGCCCGGTTGTCTGTTGGCCCCTTTGAACCAGCTAACTCCCTGTGCGCCTACTCGCCCGTCCGACAGGCACTTTGTCACGAATGAAGTTTGAGTGTTTGTAAGTTATTTCAGTGTGCGATTGCAAGTCTGTCTGTCCGTCTTTCTGACTGCCTCACTGTCTGACTGTGTGTGTCTGACAAGTGACGACACATGTTTTCAGAGACGCTGGGATCTGCTGCTGGCACAATGCGCCCGCCTGGCAACTAATTTATACCACACAGAAGGCATTCGAAAGTCTGCGGGAGTGCCGAGGCACCTTTGTGTGCCTGCATTAATGCCTTGTTAATAACAAGCGCTGCCACAATTCGCTCAAAATTTGTTTTCGTCTTTCGCCCCTTTCAGCAGTCGAGTCGCAAGCTCTGAGTGGGTTGCCTAACAGCAGGTCCATTGTTTGCCCAGACAATCGCATTCGCAACAACAATGCAACAGTGCTCAATGACGTATGCTGGGCATAGAGTGCACAACAGGTATTGCGCACCTGAGCAATGGCATCAGTTACCAGACAGTTCTTCTGCTATCAACCGTAGCAACAATCTGCTTGCATAAATTTAACCAGGGCTTTGTTTTGCTTTCTATTGTATTGCCAGAAAACTTCTTATTTAAATTAATTGTATACGTGGAATGATGTTTGTTTTCTAGCTAAGCTCGCATTTACTTAGTTTTATTTTTCGTGTTGCCTCATGGCTACTTTCGGATCTGCAAATATTTTTCTTTATTTCACAATTATTTTAATTGCAATACTCTATGCTGCACTACTAAACATAAGCTCATATTAGTTTAAGAGCTAGTTAAGAATACAGTCCGATACACTCATTGCAGATAGTTGAGTCTCTGATTTGTTGTCATTTCCATTAGGCTATCTGTCTGCTGAATTCAAGTGCAATGCGTTCATTCTGGCTCTTGTTATTACGAAAAACATATCTGGGCGTTGTAGTATTGGTGGCATAGTAAGGAAGAGAAATGCCTGTCAGTATATAAAATATGTCTGCAGGATATTAAAATAGTTTTAGTTAGGCATATAGAGCTGGCGAGCCTAAACACACATAAGATGACTTAGTTTAGCTTCAGATAAATAGAAAACAAATAAACGTTATTTATGCTTTGTCCATTCGAATCTCTCAAAATGCGATAAGCCCACGTCAAAGGCAATTTTAACCGGAGGCGCTTTTTGCTCCAGATTTGTCGGCACAGACGTTCAAATGAAAATGGCATTCGAGGTAATCGACAAAAGGATAAATCCGTTTTGTGAAACTAGTTTTCAGTGCCAAATGACGAGGCGACCTTGACTGGATCAGTCAACAAACGAGCCGAAACGAAATATGCGCAGTTTCCATTCAAATTGCGAGCCAGAGTAGGGGAAGGCAATAAAGCGAATGTCGATAAATGAGATTGACAATGACAAACATGAAATCGACTGCAGTAAGGTTAACACAAAGATGAAAAAATGCCAGTTGCGAGTCAATAAAAAACGAGAGAGACCGAAAATAAAATCGTGCTGAGGTCAAATGCCAAGCGGAGAGCAGGCAGCAGCTCAAAGCCCCAACGATAACCGAAAAAACCAAAGACCTTAAAACAAAATGAACCCAACAGAGTGACAGCTGAGCAGAGCGTCTAGGTTAACAGATGGCCGAACATTTACGGCCACTGTGGCCATGTGTCAGCCGGTGACCAATGTTTTCAAAGAGCAGCACGGAGAAGAAGAACATTGAGGTCGACGAGAATATACTCTTTAGCAAGAATTGCCTTGGGGGATATCCGAAGAATATATAATCCGTAGTAATAAGCAGACGGACAAAAAAGACTTTGACTACGCTAATATTGAAGGAGCTGATAAGATATTCAGCATGAGCGGGAGTACACATAACAGAGCAACTATAGCAAATCAATCTAAAAAATATTCAGTCTATAATCCTACTTAAAGACAGAAACATTGACTCGTAACATGAGTTTACAAAAACTTGAAACTGTAGCCAGACATCAATTTAAATATAGTCATTATACCCATTGTAGACGCTTTCAATGTATTAAGGGTATGAGAATAGAGAGAAACTAAATGACAACTGAAATGACCAAACGTCAAGTGCACAGATACAGCTGCTCTGCTCTGCTTTGCCCTGCTCTGCTCTGCTCTATCATTACATAAAGAGGAGGAAAAAAGTTTGCTCGTTCGCTGGATTTAAATGTGAATTAAAGAATTCCCCAAAGGTCCGCAGATGAGCTACATATGAAAGATGGCTTACATGCGACTAGTTGGCCACTTATGCCTGGCAAAGGTTTGGGGCGGGCAATAACAAATGTGCAAACATTGGTTTAGATAGCGCTGCTGCCCACTCGCCAGTTGCCAGTTGCCAGTTGCCAGTTGCCGGTTGCCAGTTGCCAGTTGCCACTTGCTGCATTTGCCATTTGCATAAATCAAATTTGAATATGCATCGCTGGCTGCCACGGCCAGCAGCAGCGCCGGCGCCATTTGCTGCTGGGTTGTCGGCGGCGGTTGGTGTTGGGCGATGCGGATGTGGATGCGAATGCGGATGCGGATGCAGATGTGGATGCGTGTGTGGGGCGACAAGCTCAAAGCAGCTGCACAAACACGTACGTGCAAAGGCGAAGCATGCGTGTGTGTGTGTGTGTGTGTGTGAGTATGGGTGTGCTGCTGCACCTGTCCTCGAACACGCACGAACTGAAAGGCACGCACAAGACTCAGACACACGCACAAACACACACACAAAGCAGCTAATGCATACGGGTATTAAAAGCAGCTAACTCCGCGATGAGCACCCGACAAAAAATAAACATTCGAGACGTAGGCTAAGTATTGTAGCAACGAAATATTTATGTTCAAACTGACTTTGAGCTAAAGTTAGTCATACTTATATAAATAATATTTATAAATGTAATCAAATTCTTATCTTTATTACTTCGACATGAGCACATATTGTTCTCTTCAATTTTATAGAGTATCCTTTTTGACATATTCGTCGGTTGTATTCCTCGGCGTTTTCTTTTGCATCGACTGGCACGTTACGATTAACTTTCCTCGCTAATTTACGGCGCACAAACACATTTGAAGCACATTAACGCAGACGAGAGCCAGCAGCGACTCGGATGCGGCAACACTTTGTTGCAACCGCCATAATGGGAATTATGAAAATCAGATTAGAAAAATATGAATGCTCACATAATAATGCTAAAATGACGCGTCCTATGGCTTTTTGCGCGAAGTACTTCTCTTTGAGAGAGTAATGCATTGTCATATGCATTTGATTCCAGTTTGCAGATGATGTAAGGATAGAATGAACTCAAATCAATATTGCCAAAATCAAATACATATAAAATCTCCAACATTATAATAATAGATTTATATTATCTTATTCCACGCCTACTTAAATTTTTGACAACTTAAAATATGAGTTGGTCTGGCTTGGCGTGCACAAAGTTAAAATTAATTTAATATAATATGTAGCTCACGATGCTCTATCCATACTACTTGTGAGTTTTCGGGTCGGTTTGAGTTCCTCTAGTATGGTCGTTTTCTTTGAGAAGCAATAGAAAATAAATTTGTTAGTTGAAGCGAGATATGTATATCAATAAAGTATTTACCATCTGGTTGGGGACTGGCTGACTGTGGCGGCTCATCAGGATTTGGTATTTGTCTTTGAGAATTGGGAGGACTTTGAAAGTCCTCATTTATGGACTGATTCGCATCAGCTGTCCTTAGAAACGATTCACCCTCCAATATCTCTATGGGGTTTCTTATGAATGGTTCCAATATGTTCGTAACAATCGATATCACGGATTCCTTTAGTGGCTGGCGTTCCTCCTTGGGCTTGTCATTTTTAGGGGCAGCAGGAGTAGCAGCCGCGGAGTCTGTAAACCCGGTCAGCATATCTAATGGAAATGGGTAGTAAATTTTAAGCTTGCGCTCATGGGAAATTGATGTTAGGATCTGCAAGTGCCGCAACTGCAGTCAGAGGAATAGAGTCCATAAGTCGTGTTGATTATTTATACGATTCAGATGATACTCGCCTGCAGGGCAATTTTATTCTTGGCCATCACATCGGATGCCTCCTTCAGCGCCTTCGATGCGCTGTGCTCTCCTTCGGCAGATATGATCTTGGCACGCGCTTCCCTCAAAGCCTCCGCCTCACTTGCCATCGCTCGATGAAACATTTCCGGCAGATTGATGTCCTTACTGAAAGCTAACGTGAGAGTCCTGTGGTGCGACTTTAATTGCATACACTTACAGTGCAACTCGTTCGATTTTCACACCCCAGCTTGCAGTAGATCGTTCGCAGCTAACGCGAATCTCTTGGGACAATAATTCCCTGGAGGTCAGAATTTCGTGAAGATTTTTGGTACCCAAGACGCTACGCACCGTTGTCTGCGCCAGGAGGATCGTAGCTTCGTGCACATCCTCAACTTTCACAGTCGACTTCAATGAGCCAATGACATGGTAGAAGAGTACTGCATCGACAGTCAGTGTGACCGCGTCTTTGGTGATTATATCCTGAGTGGGAATCACTTCGACTCGGGAACGCAAGTCCACAATTCCGTAGGAATCGATGCAAGGCAAATACCAAACCAAACCAGGCCCTGCTGCGCCTTTCCTAAGCAAGAGCGAACGAAACAAAATAGAATAGAGAATATTTTCTTTCTGAATCTCTTACCTTACCCGTCCCAACCGAAAGATAACAGCTCGCTGATACTCGGGGATTGTAGTAAAACAAAAGAATATGCTTATGGGAAAGGTGAGGACAACGACGAGCCAAGTGAAGAAAATGACAATTTTCTCGAACGTCGTGCCGCCTCTGCTTTCTGTGAGATTTAGGTTCGCGGCTATCGGAAAGTTACCCATTTGCAAAAATCTTCTGGATTTCTGTTTGTAGGTTTCTTCAGATTCCTTAGAGTCCTTAGAGTTTGGAATCTCTTCCACATGTCCTCTACCTTCCTCTGCAGCATTGTTACCTACATCGCTTTGATTGCGTGAATTGCGTTGAATAGCCATTACAACAAATTTTGTTTTCTGCATCAATTACGAACGGCATATTTACAGAAGTATTTGATGCCTAACAATTCTTGGAGCTATTGATTCAAAAATATGTTTACCCTCAAATGCTCTTAAAAGGGATGTAAATATATTTGTGTACAAGTTGAATTGAATTAAAAGCAGGAATATTAAGTTACGTTCCCATATAAAAAGTACAGCAGAAACTGGAGGGAATTCAGTTTCCCAGAGCCTTTACTCGTCGTCAGTTTCGTTGCTTTCAGTCGAAGACATTGCCGATTGAATTTCAGTTCGGGGCCTAAGGATCGGCATCAGGGACTCACTACTGACACATCCGCCTTTTTTACGAGTCTCGAATGGCGTCAGTATCTCCAGTGGGAAGGGATAATAAATGGTGACCATGCGCTCGTGGGCAATCGAGGTCAATATTTGCAAATGCCGCAGCTGCAAAATTTCGAGCAGAGCTATGCAACTGCTGAATATTTATTTAATTGACTGCTGCACTCACCTGCAAAGTGATTTTATTCTTAGCCATCACGTCGGATGCCTCCTTCAAGGCCTGCGAGGCCAACACCTCTCCCTCCGCAGATATGATCTTGGCGCGGGCTTCCCTCAGAGCCTCGGCCTCGGCGGCCATGGTTCGATGAAGTATTTCCGGTAGATTGATGTCCTTGCTGAGCATAGACGTGAGAGCCGTGCGAAAAGACGATGAGTTTGTGAAACTTACAGTGCGACTCGTTCGATTCTCACTCCCCACTTCTCAGTGGCCCGGTCGACGGCAATGCCAATTTCGTGGGACAGTGACTCCCTGGAGGTCAACAGCTCGTGGAGTGTTTTGCCACCCACGACATTACGCAGCGTTGTCTGCGCTATGAAGAGCGTCGACTCGTGCACATTTGAGATCTGAATGGTCGCATGCAGTGAGCCAGTGATATAGTAGAAGAGCACCGCATCGACGCTGATTGTGACCGAGTCCCTGGTGATCATCTCCTGAGTGGGAATGACCTCCACTCTGGTGCGCAAGTCCACAAGGGCGTAGGAATCGATGCAAGGCAGATACCAGACCAGACCCGGCCCTGCTGCGCCCTTCCTAAACGGGAGAGGGTATCTGAGAGAGGCAGATCTGAGGTCTCACACTCTTACCTGACCCGCCCGAGGCGGAAGAAAATGGCTCGTTTGTATTCGGGGATTGTAGTAAAACAGAAAAATATGCTCAAGGGAAAGGTGAGGACAACGACGACCCAGGACAGAAGGATTGCGATTTTCTCAAATGTGGTATTTTTTCTGTTCTCATCTATCGGGGAGTAGTTCAGCCAGTTAGTAAAGGCGAATAGTTGAGTACCTCAAAGGGGAGCAATTACTTGGTTGAATATATTTCCTTCCTGTTTTGCGGGGCTCCGTTGACCCTTCGAGATTTATTTCGGATTCAATTTTCTTGTCGCCCATAACTACCGATTTTGCAATAACCACTAGAATACTATCAATTTCGTATATGTATTTCTATATGCTTAATAGAGCGAGGGGTTCTCGGTTTAATGAATTATTTGAAACACTGCGAGTAAACATTTTATCTAATAGAGCACTTTAATTCCATTACTCTTCTTCAGTTTTTCTTTGAAGTTAGATTAAGTTTGTTTGCGATTTCTATGCCTATGCCTGCGCCTGGAAGTTTGCATAATATTTTGGGAAAAACTATATGAAAACTTTTAAATTTATATGCAGTTGCATTTTGGACAATTTCACAGAATGCCAAACTCTAGGAAAACAAATAAGAATGCAGAAATTAAATGAAACCGACTTTAGGATGTTCTGCAGAACGTCTTTATTAAGTGAAAATAATTTCTATAAATTAAATGAGAACGCATAAATAATTAATTTCCTCTTTGTTTTTTTTCTGAGAATGTAAAATGTTTCGTAATAGTTTGTTATAGGGTAAGAAGGCATTATAAAGCCATATATGCTATGGTCCGATGTGCCAGTGCGGGTCAGAAAAAATAAGTTTGTCACTGAAAGTTGCCAAAAAGTTGGCAGTCGAAAAACTTAAAACTTTTGTTTTGTCGCCCACATTATTTTCTTTTATTTTTCTTTACCTTTTTTTTTTTTTTTTTGCAAATAGCTGAAGACAAAGGCCAGCGGGTGAGCTGGCGTGAACGAAGGTGGTGTGGGGTGTAATAACTTCGGAATGACTTTTGTTGCTTCCTTATAATGCATTGTGCGGCAGTGGCAGCTACTAACTTTTTCACTTCGTGACCACATGTGCCAAGCGAAAAGTTTTTCCGTGCTCCATTCAGTTTCACCCGCTGCCAGATTCATGCGATCCCATCATAAAGTAATTTATGTGATTTGCTCGTCCTCATCCGATTGCAAATGCAGCGCCATATGGTCAGCACCAGGCAGACAGCCAGCCACCCACCCAGCCATACACCCAGCCAACTGGCCAATTGTCTCTCACCGAGCACACAGAAAATGACTCTATTATGCTTTCGACTCAAATGGGGAGTGCTCTCTGATGGAGGCATAAAGTTATTAGTCCACTGGGAAAAACTGACCGCAGCATATGAAGTAATTCCATGAACTCTGGCTAAATGAATGTCACATCGGACTAAACGAATCCGTCATTGTCAGCATTTGTAATGGAATATAACTACATGAACACACATAGCACACATAGCTTATATGCATCGAAGCATTGGCTGCATGCTGAACCTAAGCAGCTTAAGCTTCCTCTATATGAGAGACAAAAGTGATTGCAACAGCAATTAAACGCAGAGAATTAGTGTCATTTGTTGCAATTTTTCACAAAGAATTCGCAGGAATCGATGCGAGTAAATGTAAAAATATGTTAATTGAGATAACTAGAGTAGCTGTGAAAATTCTATTTTAAAAAATTTATTATTTAAAGCCACTTACAACGTGTTGCACAACATGTGTTTGGTATTAAATTTAGAATATTTAAAAGTATAAATAAATACAAGTATAAAAAGTCTACAAGTATTTACTCTAGGTATTCCGCTAAGTATTTCCTGCAAGTGTTTAATGCTCAACTGGATGATCATTATGCTCTAACACACTTCACTTCAGTTTACTTCACTGCACTACACGACTGACCACCCCAGGTCTGAGACGACTGAAGAGATGCTGCAGCTGCTGCCCTTTATATAGGGCTACTTCCACTCATGCACTTGGTGTCGCTCAAATGTTGAGCCAGGTAGAAGTCGTTGCAGTCGAGCTTCAAGTGACCAATGGGAACACTCTCTGCTGCTGCAAGCATTCAAGCTTCGTTTTACTCCAATATAAATACCAATTGAATACTGTTGCCTACATATAGACAACTTACGTGATATTGTAGACTTATTTTTTGTTCCTTGCTTTCGTTAGACAAACAGAGAGAGTGAGAGAGAGAGAGACAGACGGAGAGACCGACTGTGCGATAAACTGGGAGACAGACAAAGTTAAATCAGACCTCATTACGCTGCTCAACCATATATATGCTTGATAAGGCTAAATGTTGATATGCTAAATAATAAATATATTAACTAATATGTATAATTATTATGGTATAAACATTTCTTCTATTCTATAGTTTTTTAAGGACTACGACTTCTGCATAGTCGGACTCATTTTCTGGCTATTCCATTCCAATCTCAATTTCAATGGCTAGGTCCATCAATCACAAATCAAGCGTAGAATGAGCACAGTATCAGTCCTTTGCGGGGTTCAGCAGTTCTTCTAGTCGAGCGGTCCCGGCTAGAGCACTCTCACTTATTTATCTTATTTTCTGTATTTAAATTATATTAGCAAACTAAGCAATCTGTTCAAAATTTAATTGCGCAAAATTTCTCTTAGCACACATATACACATTGACTCTGCACACATACACAGTAAAAGTTTCAAATTTCAGAATTTAGTATAAAAAAAAATAGGATATGAAGAGGCAGATAAAAGACAATGAATATGCGACTAGCCGAGAGGCCATTCGTATGGCCCAGATAGGTGTGTAGCTACACTACTCAAGTGTTCCATTTCAGTCGAGATCGAAACTAATTGAGTGGCATTCAGATTTCTCGTCGCTGCGGCCCACACTCATTGAGCTTGTAATGGCAATGATGAAAGAAGCGTTCGAGCGCGTCAAGATCTCATTGATATTGCCAAAGCTGATTCAGGATCGCGCGATGGTTAAGAACGTGCTGACCGGCACGCAATACGAGCCGGCGATAAAGCTGATAGACGATTTCCTGCGACGACGCGATATCATCTTGAGGGAGCGGCGACAGCCACTGATGGATCACGGCATGATCCAAATCATTGATTACTTTCAGCGGAACATGCAGATCTACACTCTGTTCCCCGGACTGGTAAACGCCATGTCCAAGAGGGAGAGCGCTCTATTGATGACCTTCGCTAAGCTGCTCAAGGTGGCCGAAACCCATTTGAAACGGGATGCTTATGAGCAGATTGCGCACGAACGTCACCTGCACAAAGTGCTGAAGGAGAAGCAGAAACTCTGGGAGGAAATACAAAAATTTCAGAATGTGATTGAAAAACACCGCATCGAGGAGAGTGCTAGTGCGCTCGCCAAGGAGCAATATGTGGCAAAGCTTATGGAAGAGAGGAGACAGAAAAAACTGCGGGACGACATGAAAATCGAGCATGAAATGTAGGGTAACATACATATATATATTTGATAATATATCTATAAATTTCACTGTCACGCAGTGAGGTCTCACGTCGAGCTATGCGAGCCAATGCCAAGGCCAGCCGAGATAAGCAAATCGAACTGGCTGACGAACTGGAGAAAGTGAGATACGAAGATGCCAAACTAACAAAGGACAGCAAGAAAGCTGAAAAGGAAGCTCGCGAGGAAAAGTAGCTCAAAGTAATATTTATTTAACTATAGCTTATTAACAATTTTCTTCAAAGGAACAAATTCGAAATACAACTCCAGAGCATTATTAAGAAATACGATACGATGATGATTGAAAAATTTGTCGAGAATCTGGAGCTGACGGACAAACTGAATGAGGCACAGAAGAAGCTGGACGAGTTTAAGCTTCACTATCGCAAAGAGCAGCGCATCTACAATGAGATCGTGGTCAAGCGCGAGAAGGAGGAGGAGCGCAGGAAGCAAGAGATGATCTTCAGATACATGATGAATCGCGCTGCACGCAAAATCCAAAAGTATTGGCGCGCATGGCGCAAGAGCCTCAGGAAGAAGAACAAACGTGCGAAGAAGCCATCGACTTCTGCTATAGATGTAAATAATTAGAGAAAGACAAGTTTAGACATGTTTCATTCCGTCATTCAATACTTTACACTGAGTAGCTAAATTGACAATTAGAATTGGGATTCAGTGATTATCAGAGACAGAATTACGTACATTTCTCTTTACAAGAGGGAAAATTGAAAATAGTTTATGCATAGGCCTTGAATATATGATTCGGAAAATTAAAGAGCTCAAGAAAGTTAATTCAAGTTGAGTGAGAAATAGGCTTGGGCTCTTGGGAATTCAAGTATGTAAATAAAAATCTATGAATATTAACACGGCGTTTTATATATAAATGAATAGTTACTCTATTTTGGGAGCACATATTCTATGCATTTATAAGAAATAAGAGCAAAATTTAATTAATGCAGGCGTCGAACAAATAAGATGGAGATGCGGCTCGAATGGCGCTGGGAAAAATTCATTGAAATTACCAAGCGTGAAATGAGCAGCTGTCACTGGAGCACAAAGGACACAAAGCAGACAGACCAGGACACGCAAGCATACACACACACACACACACTTGAACGTATATACAAACACAGAGAAAGAGAGACTGGCGTGCAGACAAAAGCTTGACAGCTTGAGATAGAAAGCGAATGGCATTTGAAATTTCATTAAATTTCCCTTTTTCGTGCAATGCGAAAAGTCGCGCCATGGAAATTCTCGCAGCTGTATTAGCATCGACACCAGCTATATGTACGCTAATATATACATACACATACACATGCTCACATACAGACATATATCTAGGAAAAGAAAGTCAATAGCCTTGCGGTACTTGCGGCCTGTAAAAGTTTCTATTCAATTAAATGATGGCCATCAGTTGCCAAATTTGAAAGTTCACGACATTCTCGATTCAAGTGCAGCTGTTCTCCATTTGGGGCCTTCGCATTTGCTATGCCATTGACCGTCCGCCGCATTCCATATTCCGACTATTTCGCTTCCTGCGTGTCGCAATAAATTAAGGCTGAGTAGGCGACGGCTTTAATCTGCGTTGCTTAGGCGGCGGCAGTGACTGGACACGGCCTGACTGGACAAGGCCATTGTAATCAGCACATTCTGCTCTCCACATAAATCCCGACAACTGCGATAAGTCCTGGACCAGCGTAAACACGCTGAAGTCGGAAACGGTCTGGCAACGCTGCTTGAAAATCTACATGGAACCACGTCAAGCACAACCTGAAGGATGAAAATCCCTCGCTTCAAATGGATTTACGCGCACTCGC